ATGCAGAAATTGACTTGGTCAGGATAGAGCATGACGTCTTCGTGGATGGGGACCTCGCATGGTCCGTGCCAATGGTTGGGATCGTATCAGACATGGCGGTCACGCAGTTAGTGGCATTCCTGTATTCAGTTTCTTTAAGCCGGTTGTTAACTTTCGTTCCATTCTGAATAACTTAAAACGCATTCTTCTTGTTTCCATTTTCTTTGCGTTCTATCCTTGCCGCAGTCATGTGTTATTCTTGCAATGTCAGTCCTGACAACTAGATTCACCGCATTTCGGTGCTCGGATCACAGTTGTACTGAACCGAACCGATGAGAGAGAGCGGCATTACTGTGTTCTCGGTTTGTAATACATAAGTGTCGAAAAGTTGAACAGGTTAAACTATATTGGTTCGACAAGAAGTATACAAAAATGACTCAGTGGCAGGGCAAATTGTGGGGCAAGTTCCTCTTCTTCGGCTTCCCCAACGACTACGAGGCTACAGGAAGCAGCGAGATATTTGCAACAGTGCGAAAACGAACAAGCACCGGCATTTCGAAGAGCAGCTTGCAACCGCCGAAATTTGTGCTTACATGAAGCGGCGCATCAAACCGGCAGGTGATCTACGAGTGCTAGAGGGCTCGAATGGACAGCACCTTGTCACCAGCAGTTAGTGTACGTCCGCGTGGGCAGTGCACTTCGTTTCCGTATTTCCAAACGACCATGTGCCTGTACCGAATTCGTCATGAACCGCGTTTACCCAAGCCGACAGTGTAGTTTGTGATAGTGAAGTGATGCGTCTACTACTTGCAAATCTTGGCAACACCAAACAAGTTGGCCGTGACAGATGCACTCACTAATTCGCAGGTCCATATGCGCTATCATATAGCGTGCCGTGACTGAGTTGTCTAACAGGTCCCTATCCGAAGGTTCATTGCCAAGTGACAGAAAATGCTCAGTGGTAAAGCTGATTCCGAAAGGCTGTGACCCCAGTAAAGTGGGCAACTACAGGCCAATTATTTTGTCATAGCTGCAGAGAAGATCGCGGAAAACAGTGTACCACAGCTGCTCCAATCAAAAGTTCCACAGACACTCGCACAGCAAGCTTTGTGCTAGGCTGCTCAAACATTACCAAGCTGATGGTGACAGGGCATGAATAGTTGCAGACAGTGAATCAGGGAAAGTCTGTCGACGCGATCTATATCGATTTCAGCAAAGCGTTCGAGAAGGTAAAGCAAGAAGTCCTCCTCGACAAGCTGATAGTCTGTGGGGTCAGATGATTACTGCACCAGTGGATTCAGGAATGTCTCGTTAGGCGAAAGTGGAGGGTACATGTCGAAGGCCGTCTGTCATACTGCTATTGCTTTATTAGTGTAGTTCTCTAAGGCACGGTGCTGGGACCGACTCCGTTCCTGATATATGTAGAAACGATCTGCCTCAGCTCAATCAGTAGCCGTGTGTACTGTTTGCGGATGACACGAAGATTTGGAGAGAGATTAACACACCAGACGACTGCAGCCTACTTTTGCAAGACCCCTGCCACCTCTCCATGTGGACCGCAGAGGCCCGCCTCCCAATCAACCCAAGCAAGTCGGTATCCATGAGATTGGGGAAGGGTGGTGATTGCCGAACCTACACCCTTGACGGCCAACTGCTACATTCCACGCTTTCCGTGAAGGACCTAAGAGTACTATCGCGCTGCAACCTGAGGTCCGAACAGACTATATCGTAATGAACTGCGCATTCTATGGGTGATCAGACGTAGCTTTCGTGTTTGGTCCGAAAAGATCACCACTCGCCTCTTCTCTTCCACCATACGAAAAACACTGGAGTAGGCTCGCACACCGAATTCCAATCACCCGAGACGACGCACAGATCGAACGGGTGAACACGTCGCTACCAGGACCATTTCGGGATTATGAAGAATGTCGTCGGAAGACCACTACGAGAAAACAGGACTGTACATATCATCCTATCGTCCGCGGCGTCGATCACATTGTGACCTACCGCATATTGCATTTCGATGGCTTCCCAAGGTCGAGGTCGCAAACGCCATACACCACACACAAACACCGATACAAGCCTGTGGCGTTGGATAAAAAGCAAGTTCTCTCCACTCTGTGCTTCAAACGAACCGTGAACCGTGGAACATTCTGCCAGAACAATTTGCAGAAGCCAAATGTGTGCAACAATTCAAAACGCTGTCGGGTTCATGTTTCAGCGTCACATTGGCAATGCCATCTTGAAATTTATGAGCCAGATGTTACCGTAAGAGAGATTTTACTGTCATATAAGAAATTAGTGAACGCTTGGGGTACCAGCAGAAGGATGATATTTCATATAACAATTGATTTTATATTCCGATGGAAGCGTATAGACTTAAATATCTACTTGTTTACACAATACAGTATTCCGTAACAGTACGGAGAGTCAAAATTTGCACGCAGCTACTGAAACTGCTACATAAGATCAAACGCAGATGTGGGAACGTCTCGAAACTTGGATCCGCCAAGCAAATCAGCTGATGTTAACGTTGTGTCATTTAGAAGCCACAAAGCTTGTAGAGCTGATTTTGACGTTTGAGTGGATCATTTTGGCTTTTCAAAGGTTGGTCCAGGTTACGGTCCAAAGCGAAGCACGAAGGAATTTCAATTCAGTGCGATGGACGGATGACACAGTCTACGAGGCTGCAAATCAATCCAACGTTACCATCTTACGTCACAGCCACGAGCACACGAGGGTAGACACGTCCGAGAGGAAGCAAAATGACAAGCAAAGCCCAGAAGTGCAACGAAAAAGTGATTTTTATCAATAACAAACAACAAGCCAGTTCAGGGAGACCCACGGCTATCACGTAACTGATGCGGCCAGCTTCGCATTAGTCAGAGGGGATTTAAACTGCTTATTGTGATCTGATGTAGCTGTTCCGGAACATAACATGAATGAGATTTATAAATATGCATCGATTTTCACACCACTTGTGACGTTTCGGAAACGGTCTATCAACGCGCGTCAAGACGCTGACCTCTGATTTTGCTGGGATTGAATCTTGCGCAAAACGCGAGCCGAGCAACGGGAATCACATAGAAACGGGAAAAATTAATATGCTAGAATCAGTGACGACATAGTCTTGAAGCAAAGTATGCTCCTATGTTCAACCAGTCTCGGATCCACATATGGAGGTTCGTACCTGAGCAGCTATACCCACTTAAACTTTAGTCAACATTCCACGCCATTTGTTTGACAGTTAGCAATCTTAGTCCACAATTAGTGATTACAATTTTTACCATGTCCCATTGCGTTGGCCGGATATGAGCTGAAGCGAACCTTCGCTAGGACTCGAAATTCGTATAGGGAGAATACTGATGAAGGCATGTATCGATGCTTCACCGGATTTTACCCAGGACTCTCGCTGCAATGGTCATAAACCGAATAGTTGGGGGTTGGGAGCGCGGTGACACGAGCACTGTGATTCGCAACAATATAAAACTCACTAAGCTGAAGCACCATGGCCGCAAGTGAAGCAGTGTATGTTTGGTAACTTCGGCTTTTAATACTAATCTTTACTGCTAGCCTCGTTCATGTTTAAACTTTGCAGATAGAGCCAAATATAAGTTCCAAGACGAGTAAAACGCCGCAGGAAGGAAGTTAACAGCACGTTGTACAGAACCAGGTCATCGTTCGCAACATGCGCCTAAACTGCAAATGGGATCACGAGAGTATCTTGTGTGGAAAATGGGCGCGTTCAGGCTTGACAAGATCGATCATGTTCAACGAAAGAACAAGAGAAACGGTTAAAAACATGAAGTATGGCATAATTCTATCCACGCGATAAAATCGATGAAGAACCGGTTGCTCGGAGTGACCGTTCCCGGTTTCACCTGTTCGTCGAGCTTCGTAACTGGTTTGCAAAGGTTTCATCAACAAACGTGGTGACATCCTCAGTGTGCTACTGGACAGAATTCAGTGTATCGATTTGGTCGCCGATTTGTGATGCACCAGTAAAGTGACTTTTGAATTGACTTTCTCGATCTGTGCCCTGTGAGATTCATCCGTTTGCCCAAGATCTCCGATAGACAAGGACAATCCGTGATATGTGTGATGGTAGAATCAGATCAGTGTGAGAAGATGGACCAATCGAGCGAGCCAGACAGCCAATAGGAGGCGAGTGTGACGGATTCGATTAATGAACTGGGGTTGATCGATATTGATGTGAGTGATTCACCGTTTGTTTAACTGAAGCAAAGGAGGAACCTCAACGACTCAGAAGGGTCGTTAGTGTAAACTTGAAAGTACAATTTATATCGAGGAGCTTGGCTTGTTAAACACTTAGTAATTTCCGCGGACTTGACTTCGCTGAATAAACCTGAGTATTGCCCTGGCAGTTGCGGTTGTGTTGTTGATGGTTCGTTTGGCTGCCAACAATGATTTTAGCCGCTTTAGCTCTCGCAATGTTAAGGTTTGTTAAACTGGGTCAAAGTGGATGCACAAGTTTATCGAGTGCATCATCGAGTACTACGCTACGAGAAACTCCTTTCCAATTGGAGCAATATTTTTTTCGTCCATATACAATGAAATAATAAAGAGAGCGTAAAGGCTCTGACAAACGCTTGTATACTCTTGCCTGACAAACATATTTCTTATCGCAATCTTGACATCGTATCACGTACAAACGACTAAACCTGGAATTGGCTTCAAAAAAACGCCATTAGGTTTCATATAATATGGCATAATCGATAAAAGGAGATGCTAACAGAAAGGCGATTTGCGGCCCGCATCCACTAGTCGACATCCGCGAGTGAAGCAGCCTAAATTCACAATATCTTCGCATGGACCAAACGATTCTGCTCCAGATTTATTTGAAAGCAACTTCAACACCACTTTGGCAATAAAAAGGTAATGGAACCCTATTCTAAATGACTGTGTCGAACTCGATATGAAACAGCTATAGACAGAGAACATTAAACATGTCATAGTGATATGTGAGAGAGGGCGGCGGAAGAGCGGGGATTGAGGCTTACTTCGCATTCAACATCGAAGGCACTGTGCGGAAGAAATAAGGATATATTTGTTTCTCCAGTATTTTGGAGGATTCAACTGTCGGACTGATGACTAGCTGTTGACGATGATTAGCGACTTCGACCACAGGTTCGATGGAGTCGGAGCAGAGAGCCGCTGATTAAAGGATAAAAAACACACAAAAGCAAACAAATTCAATAGATCGGATATAGTATACAAGACTAAGATCATTACTTTAAAAAGCACAGATTGGTCAACACTGTTCTGTTTCCAGAAATCCCACGAGTGCTGTTGTTTAGGGCAGTGTATTGGGCCCATTGCTTTACTAGATTTACACAAACGATAGATTTGATTACATTAGACACGAGCGCCTATTTTTATTTGCGGACGACATTAAAGTAGTTTAACCATTTACACCCGACAACTTGGAGCTGATCAAAAATATTATACGCGAAGACCTATCATCCCCGAACAAATGGAGCGAAAGCAGGTGAATGAGGTTTTATGCAGATAAATCGCAGATATTCTGCCCCAGATGTAGTATACCAGAAGGATCCATCACTCCAATTGGCACCAGAATACCAACTGCGTATTTCGTTTGAGACCTGGGAATTCGATATTCGAGCAGTTTCAACTTCTCCGAACACCTCCCACAGCAAGTAGCGAAAGCGAAGCTAGTAACAAGCTACATCACTAGGTTATTTTCCCTATCCAACACACGACTTGAAACACTTAAACTCATAGGAGCTATCCACTCTGGAGCATTGCACCATTATACATAGCCAATAAGGCAATTGCTTTGGAAAAGGTCTAGCGATCATTTACCAAAGTGCTCACGAGTCTTTGCAACCAGTAAGGCCATCACTTTACAAAATGAATCAACCAATCCTACTCGTAATAGGAAGACCAAGCGAAATATTCGCCTCAATTTCTCGATGAAGTAGCTCTATAGGTGGAACAAATTACCGCTGCAGTTACGGACCAGCGAAAGCCCATCTTAAGGTTAGATCTCAGTTAAAAACCTTTTTTCTTTTCGACCTTAAGCAATTCACGAATGCAATGATGAAATGCGGTCCGAAAGGCATGGCAAAACTAGTTTCCAATAATGTTACTTATTACATATAGCGTAAAACATTGCATAGTGAATGCAAGTCAATAAATGAAAAGCTAAGGAAGAAACTCGTCGTAGAAGTGATGGTTCCACACAAAAAAACGTATGGCAGCCCGTTCGGGAAACATATCTACTTAACTGTTTACTTATCCAGCAACATGTGCGAAAGTTTGAGGTTGTATCAGAAAGGGAGCACGTCTACTACACAGTCTTAGGGAGGAAACCACATGAAAGATGAACACAAAAACAGGGACTATCGCAAACATGTTTGAGACCCTTGGGCATTCGAATTGACGGAGAAACATGATAACTGTTCTTCTACGAGCACAAGCCATTGTGGAGCTGCATAGGAAAGTGGAGAAGGCGGAGATCCCCAGCATCTTAGAACAGTGTTAAATTATGATACAAGCGTACTGGCGACTATTGAACGACCGGAGGCAACATGCCAAACGTGAATAATGAACGCTTAAGTGACGGACGAAGCGACATCACACATGAGAAAGACAGGTCTTATCTTTTGAAGACGAGAGAAGAGACCGTGCCAATGAACAAGCGGGTTAACGCTTTGATTCGTTCTCCGAGCTGAGTAATTTAATGGGAAACGACGTTGCACCACATCGCTCAGTAGCATCTTCAGTGCACTGCTGCGTAGAGGAAAATCTCACGAAAAGTTTCGTCCGGATACCGATCGACAAAGCCAATTTCAAACGCTACGTCCCAACGACACTTTCCGTGAGATTTTCCTCTACGCAGCAGTGCACTGAAAATGTCACAGAGCGAAGTGGTGAAAAGTTTGTCATTAAATTACTCAGCTCGGAGAACGAATCAAAACGTTAACTACCAACCCCAGCTACAGGTATTCCGAATCATTGTGAACAAGCGGGTGTCCGGTAACAATAGGGTGCTTCTCAATCACTACCCGTGAGACAGAGCTCGTGGAGCCCATAGCGGGTGTACAGATTGGAGTGATTTACACCCACATGCTTGGTGGACAATGTATAAATACGAGTGACTATCAAGGATGCGGTCAATCGACAGAGATGCGCGGGAAAAAGGCAAAGCACACATTTGTGCGTCAGAAGTGTACCGTATATCATTCATAAACAAGGAAAAAACGTGAAAAGTGGTAAGGAACTATATCTTTCGGTAGGAAAGGATTGATTAGATGTGGGGGATCACAATTCCGAATTACGCATCTGATTGAATTTGAACAAAAGTGACCGCACGATAGGTCGATAGGGTGACTGTCAAATTGGCCGACTCTTGATTGGTTAACAGTGATTGGAAAGGTAACTACTCATTGTCTGACTGAACAAAAATTATGCACTTTTCAATGCACGCTAATGATGCCACACAAGCTGTTTGTTTAGCTGCTTCGTTTTTGTCGAATGAATAGCATTGCACATGAATGGCCGACAACATTAAGGTTAAGGAAAACGAATGAGGAACTTACCGATGACACCAATTAATTTCTTGTCCGAAGCGATGAGCTGCAAACCGAAGTAATCATCTACCACAATTTCTTGAACGCAGGTCAAATTTCGTACATCCAGTGTAAGTGCGTATTCGGTGTTTGCGAAATAATCTGGAGACGAGTTCACAAGTTCGACGGCTTGAACAGCAACTGGAAAGGGAATGAAAAACAGACAATACTGAAGTAAGCGAATGTGCTGAAACGCAAGCAATCGTTCTCAGAGGCAAGAATGCTGAGTCTAAAAGGTAATCTGTATGGTTCAATACGAGTAACGGTGGATCTAGTTGCCATGATCTCGTCGCCAATAAGACAAGGAAAAGTCGCAACAAATGAGAAAGGTGGAAGAAAAATAGACATGCAAACGAGAAGAGAAAGAATGGAAAAGCTAACAGGCAATGTTAACAGCGTGAACGCGAGAGACCAAATCATGTACCAGGCGGATTCCCGATTAACGAGAGGTGGACACTTAGGTCCCGTCAAGGACAATGGTGTGTAGCATTCAGAACAATATTCGATCTGCTTACCCCTATGATTTAGCAAAGTCTTAAACTGATTGCTGTGCGCACAAGTAGGGCCATCGACAGACATAAGAAAAACGTGACGAAACAAACAGATGATCCACAGCTGCATCAGAGTGTATACGGCCCAATACCCGAGCTGGTCCATGTGGGCAAGGTCGCTATCTATCGAAATTAAACTACGACAGTGCTCATGGTAATCTGCCCAAGTATACGGTAAACCTCCGGTCTGAATGCAGCATTGTATACCATGCCCATAATGAAGGATTAGGCGGCATGTCGTCCCCGTACATAGTTAAGGAGAATGAAAAACACAAAAGGACCTCAGCAAAATTGCACCTTGAATATCAACGCACTGACAACGCCACTTCGCATGGAGGCAGCACGCTTGCAAGCAAATTGCCAGCTTGGCAAACAAATAAACCACAGTGATCTGCACAGTACTCTGATAGCGACGTCGAGACCACCAGAAGTGATAGATTCACCGATGTAAGAGAATTGATAAATCACTTCCACCAGCTATTCGGTGACGGCAAACATAACTGACGTCTTAGCAGTTCCTGAGCGTAAAAAGACGTGGAAGACACGGATAAGAAAGCCTAAACCGTGGCAAAATTCAGCCCAGTTTCTCGATCGCAATAGTGGCATGCAGTGCGATGAATCTCGTTGATTTATAGCAGTTTAACAAAAAAAGGATGGAGCAGTTGAACAATAACAGATGAACAACAACAACGGCAACAACAACAAAAACAACAACAGCAACAACGGGTGCGGAATTAGTTAGAAGCAGGAAACCGCGGAATCCGCGCCAACTTTATTCAGTAAGACGATCGAAATCCCAGTCCCCATGTTGAAAGAGAAATAACGTAAACGCGCAAAGATGTAAAAGGACAAAAAACACTTTGCATGTGAGGTAATAAATTACACAAAGTGAAACGAGCTGATTTGGCCTACAAATAGGAAATAATATGTTTTCAACTGGGAGGGTAAAAAACATGACCAATCGGTAACTGTGCAAATTGAATTGGTACCCACATGGAAATAATCGCGTAAGAGCCATGGCGACATAAGAACTCGTTCTGATTAGAGACAAGCGACCTGTCGAGTGATGCGCAGATTACACACCAATTTATACTGTAGTGCTGAGATCTACCGGCGGCATCCGGTTTCGGATTTGCCTGTCACTGTGGCTTAAACGCGGACAGCCAGAAGACGCCTGCGTTTACAGAGGGAACATGGGTGGCTTGCGCTGCATCACCCACAGCTCCAACCACACACCTCATATCCAGTATAAACCCGAAGGTATAAGACCGGGAGGCATGCGGATGGGAGCCACGTTTCATCAACCGAGCCGGCCCACACTCTTTCAGAGGCGTATGCACGTTGTATTTGGGAATCAAGCAAACACAAGACGGTGGCTCCACCGTAGGCCGCTCCACACTGAGTGCATGGAACCACTCTTCGAGCCTAGCACGGCCACAAGGACCGTGCACCCCGTCCCCTCCAGCAACAACCAACTGTCTCCTGGAGCCAGTATGGACGAGGTAGTGGGTAATAGACAGGTAGGCACCTTGTCAACATGCACATCAAGCGCAGCCACACCGGGGATATCAAGCAACAGCCAACCAGTTAATATAGCATTATCAAAAAGTATATCTGTTAAAGCATACGGCTATGTACACATAACTCTGCTAAATTTTATATGTATATATATATATACACATATACATATCGTATAATACAACAATAATGAGAGATTAAAGATGGTTAAAAAAATGCAAACTGCAGTTATGGGGGTGGAGTCACACATGTTCGCCATTGTGCACGGTAGGGTTTACAGTCATGCTTGCTCGCTATCCTTGCGGCCTTACCAGGGAGTCGAGAGCAACTGACCGCTGCCAAATGTGCGGTAAATACCTTCATACTTTTAGCCCAAGTCATTTGCTGGGCACCTTGTCTTCGCTTCTAACTGACTTCTGTGCACACAGAATGTACGACGCGGCAAACGCTCAGTAGGGACGCGAAGCAGGCACCAAAGCCACCGAAGCATATACAGTGTAATTAGGCGGCTCAGCGGCCGGTAAAGTTTGTCTGACCTGAAAATCCTTCGGCGAACTTCCTCATTGTCAATGTGATGTTGTCATCGCACACCAGCAAAGCTCCGAAGGCAGCGGTGATCAAAGACAGACAGAATCTGAACGTCCTTTGCACGAACAGGCCAAATCTCACAATCGTAGAGCAGGATTGCTCTTGCCGCGACATTTTAGACTCGGCCTTTCAAGGATAGATCCAGGTCACGCTGACATTAGAGATGGCGTATATTAGTAAAAGCAACCCGAGCTTTGGAGAGGCGAAAGGAGACCTCATCCGTTAAACCCTTAGGGCTTACGTAACTTCCGAGGTATAGGAAATGGTCTACCACTTCCAGAGAATGGCCTGAAAGTGCAGGGGTTGAAGCAGACCCTAGCCAGTTCTGTATGAAGGCCTTACATTTCGAAGGGGTGAAGGCCATTCTTTCCTATCTGCACAGTATATTTTGGGGACCTGTGAAGAATTGCGAACTACGGCAATGTCGTTAGCATACTCCAAATCGCGAAGTCGGTCCTGCGGAAGAAGCTCAAAGCCCCTGAGTCCGCAGTTATCCAGAGCGCTCTCCAGGATATCGTCCATCGCGAAATTGAACAGCAAGGGGATGATGAGCAGCCCTGTCTCACACGATTGGGGATACCAAAGAGGGGTGCGAAAGTTCGCCGTACACCCACGCTCGGGCCAAAGTTTCAAGATTAGTTGGCAAGAAGAATGAAGACGTACTTCTCAGGCACTCCCCTCTCAAAAGACAGCTCCAGAGAGCAGATCGGCCAACTGAATCAAAAGCAGCTCGTATGTGTAAGAAGACAACGATCATTGGCCGGCCGAACGTCGGACGGCGCTCGAGTATTTTTTGAAGAGTAAAGATGTGATCGATACAACTTTGGCCAAAACGGAATTCAGCTTGCTCTTCAATTATGTTCTGATCGCGCACCAGGCTGAGCCTTTTTAAAAAACAGGACGGCAGGCAGTTTAGATGCGATACATATGAGACTAATCCTTCCGTAGTTAGCGCAGAGTGTCCGGGTACCCTTTTTGAAAATGGGCACGATATCCGCCGGACTTTAAGTAGACGGGATTGCTTCAATATGCAAACCTTTTTTTGGGGGGGGGGGAGTTGGCTCTCGAACAAGTGATGGACCTGCATGCTTGAAAAGAGCTGTAGGGGGTGCGTCCCTACTAGGGGCTTTGTAGCTCATGAACAATCTCAGCCTCAGAGGGTGGTGAAGCGCCTACACACCATGGAGCACTAGGGATTCCCGTATGACGGATCACTAGTGCTGCACCCGAGTTGAACTGCTGCACAAAGTGCTCAGTACAATGCACAAGTCGACGTTGTTGGTAGTGGATTTGCATGCCATTGGTTCCAGTTGGCCAATGGATCGGATCAGGTGGAAAAGCTTTCAAAAATTCCCCGACATAACCTCCTGTTCCACATCAATGACCTGTTGCGTCCATCAGGCCTCGCGATTCTTTCGGAGGAACAGTTTGAGTTCAGTGTTAGTGGTCCCGCATAGTGTATGGTACGCAAGGCCAGCTGGAATTGCCCGACGAGCTTCGACAAGTTGGGGAGATTGTGCAGAAATCCAGTGTTTGACAGGAATATTGGTGAAAGCACAGACCGCGGTAGCAGAATAAAAAGTAAATCAGTGAGGCAGGAGTCTCGAGCGTGAGAGCAAAGACTGCTTGTGATCCGACCCGCATCAGCGCCCGGACGTTAAAGGTTATCAGCTTGAATTGGAAACGGGACGCCACTTGGCGATGCACACTCAGACCGAAACGTGAGCCGTATGGCGAGAACACTCCCCCAAGGCTGCACAGTGTTGTGGACTCGGATAAGGAAAGGGATTACCAAGGATGGAAGAGTTGAACAAACGTGGAATAAGATAAGCGAACTGTGGTGCGGTAGAGCGCGATAAAGCGTGTTCGGACGCTAGCAATTCGGCCGAAGATAGCATTGGCAAAGAGCAGAAAGTCGTTGTCCACATGTTGTGTGGGCATGTAGCTTCCCGGTTGCCCAGGCGGAGGAAGAGGGTTGACTTAGAGAACGCCACCGGGATCCCTTGGTCTTAAATACATGACCCGCAAGACAGTGGGGCAACTGATGAATATCGTATACCGTTCGGAGTCAGCTACCAAGTAACACGGCTTACGAGTAGGAACAAACAATTCAGGACGCCCAAGAAATCAGAATGAAGGAACGCGGGGGCCAAAAGAAATTTTCTGGACCACCGGACTCGTCGAAGAGCAGGAAGGCCGTCGACAGCCAGGTGGCTCATACGCTTTCGCAGAATCCAGGGTTCATAAAGTGACCAGGGCTGAGAGGAATTGCAGCGATACCAGCAAGTAAAATTTCAAAGGGTTAAGGGATGATTGGTATCGTCCGGAACAAGTAAGCAACAAGATAACAACCAAGGGAGCTACAAAAGGATATATGTGCAAAAAGGCACGCGAACCAAAGCATGAAGTAACTGTTGACGGGACATAGACTGTGAAAAATTGGGATCTGAGCAATGAACATAAGTACGTGTAGTAGGACGAAAACGTCATTGGATTGAAGAGTTGGTGCATAAGTGCAAGAGAGAGGATGAACACAATAAGCCTGTTGAAACATCGACCGGGTGAAGCTGATTACGATTCCTGAACACTGAAACGACCGACTCCTAGGTCCCTATGAAGAAATAGAGCAGGCAGAACAGCCAGGTCAAAATAAGCGATTCACTGATTACAGCTCTTCTTACTCCTATCGACTGGCCGTTCCGGGATCTCACACATTCAGACACGGTAAAAGCAACACTGTGCACTAAGGCCGTCGACCGGCAGCTTTGCATTTAAAAATCAAATGGAGATGCTGTGTGAAATCGATGAGTTCATCGGTAAACATCGCCAGACAATAATCGGGATGGCGAGCGATAGTTCAGATAAAAGAAGCCGACATCGAGCCAGCACACAGCCAAACAGAGTTCGAACAGATTCTCTCGACAGGCGGCCGAAACAAGTTAGCATAGATGAGTAAAGTGTGTTCAATCGAACAGCGCTTGTCAATAAGCACGAAGCTCCTTCACCATGCATGGTTTTGAGCTGTGTGGTGAATAATAGAGCCCTAGGAGTTGGGATCGGTGTTCCATCAGATGAGTAATGTTACCAGTTAGTGACGTGACCTCAGTACACACACCAGTGACGAGTGGTGGTTAGGAGATGCAGCGAGCAAAACAGTAGCGTTCACATGCACAAACCACTAACTCACCATCGTGAAGATTCGGGATAAACCATTTGCCATACAGAGTAAATAAACCGGCGATAGTGAGGTTTTGCTTCACGTTCCAACCTTCAGTCCATTGTTTCCAAAGTGTGCGATGTCGACGAACCCAATCGCAAGCGACATTGTAATAGTGCAACTTCAGTTCGATTTCGGTGAGAAGAGGAGAGACTGAGAGAGCCTGAAACAACCAGGAGTAAACAGATGGGGAATGTGGTAAGAAAAGAGGAGAGGTGCGCGAATCCTGAGTGACATTTTCAAAGATTTATAATAGTAAAAACGGTTAACCGTAAGTAGATGAGTTGGACGACAAAAACGGAGACAGTGGCAGCTAAGCCTAGTGATCAACGGAAAGGTAGACGAGACCGCAGTACGGCTAACCGTATTGTATTCATCAGGGGTGCAATAAGCCCTGCCAGAAAAAAAACATTATTTCGGTAGGGAAGCCATTTGATCCACTAATGTACGACAGAGGTATTAAGCCATTATGGAAAAATCAAGTCTGTTAAGTAGCGGGGCCGTCACCATTTGTAGTTATATAAGTAATTGCCATTAAAGTGAACATCCCTGGATTGACATATACATATGCTCACAGTGATATTGCGCGTCCTATTATCCACTGCCATGCAAGTTACGAATGTTGCAGAGGACAGGGTCGGCTCCGAAAGACATGACGTCTACTGACAGTTGTTATGCATGACATAGCAGTTCGTTGATGACCCCACAAGTCTGAGCTGCTGACTTGCGGTGCAAGCCGCTGGTGATTATGGGTTCGAATCCCGGCGGATCCGATGGATATGTACTACTGATGATGTCCAACAGGTTGAAACTGGAGTCCAAAGATCGAGCGGATCCAACACGTTGCAACCAGGTTCATCCCTAATTCATGTGTCATACCGCATGAAGACAGGTACGAGAGACCAGCACCATACACCCTGTCCTATGGTCAGAGGCGAGCCGACTTCATCATGACCTATATTAGGTCCGCTTATCAATTTCTCAAAACTCTTTTTCGTGGAACTGGAATTTTCATGTAACTTACATAAATAAATAAACTTGTTATTCTGGACAACGTTAGACACACCTTTATAGGCATGATCATGTTAAGATAACAAAGTGTGGCCGAAAAAGTACAAACATTCGCTTTCTATAACAGTGAAGGAATGTGTATGGATGTATAAACCTATGTAAATGTGTATGTATGTAACAGTTGACGTTATATTAAAGATGCTTCGCCGCAGTTGGGCTAAACCAACTTACACTTGAACTAGGACTTTTTAAGCTGGATAAATTTCGTTTCCCTTTATTAGGGAATAATAATCTTCTGTTAACTTGTCCACGTTGGTTACATTAATTGCCCTTACCCTCGGTAACTTGGTTGCGTTTGTAGCATTTTTAAGTAACTTGTGAACATTTTTTCCTTATCGCGGATTCGTTGCTAGGCAACTTACTTCATAGGCTAATTTAGCAAAGACTTATGCCACCGTATCTGTATGTATTACTTGATTTAATTTCTTTCACTTTGTCGTTTCGAGTGATTGGCTATTGCTTGATATCCCCGATGTGCCTGCCCTTGATGTGTATGTTGACAAGGTGCCTACCCACCACCTCGTCCATCTGTCTACAGGAGACAGTTGGTCGTTGCTGGAGGGGACGATGTGCACGATCCTTCTGGTCATGCTAGGCTCGAAGGGTGGTACAATGCACCCAGTGGGGAGTGGACTACGGTCCAGCTACCGCCTTGTGTGTGTTTGTTTCCCAAATAGGTTGTGTGAGTGGATTGCGACGCGCAATCTCAATGAAATGGACTGTGATTCACATTGAAGTGAACCTTAGTCACTGTGATCACTGGGACCGTACTCAAAGCAGATGGAAATTGGTTGTTGACTACCCGAAAACACTGCACAACCACGACGCGTTTCGATGTGATTTCATCTCATCAGGTGGAGACAGCAGGCCTCGATCCCGCGACCATTGGAATAGTAGCCGAAACCTCTACCCCTTTGGCTACCAGGTCACGGTGGGCAATGCTTGGCACAATGGTAAATGACTAATTGGAGGATCAAGTTTGGACCACACGCAGTGTGATTGGATTGCGACGCGCAAGCCCAATGTAATGGACTTTGATTCGCATTGAAGTGAACCTTAGTCACTGCTATCACTGGGACCGTACACAAAGCAGGTGGAAATTGGGTGTTGCCCACCCGAAAACACTGCACAACCACGACGCGTTTCGATGTAATTTCATCTCACCACGTGGAGTTCGGTCCCAGCGATCGCAGTGACTAAGGTTCACTTTAATGTGAATCACCGTCCAGTACATTGAGAATGCGCGTCGCAATCCAATCACACTACGTGTGATCCAAACTTGACCCTCCAATTAGTTATTTACCGTTGTGCCAAGCGTTGTCCACCGTGACCCGGTAGCCAAAGGGGTAGAGGTTTCGGCTACTACTCCAATTGTCGCGGGATCGAGGCCTGCTGATGAGATGAAATTACAACAAAACGCGTCGTGGTTGTGCAGTGTTTTCGGGTAGGCAACACCCAATTTCCATCTGCAGAGTGTTTGTGTTTGCCTGTGAAGGAGTGGGGACCGGCTCCGTTGATGAAACGTGGCTCCCATCCACATGCCTCCCGGTCTTGTTCCTTCGGGTTTACACTGGATATGGGATGTGCGGTTGAAGTTGTGGGTGGTGCAGAGCAAGCCATCCATGGTCCCTTTGTAGGGGCAGGCATCCTGTGGCTGGCCAAAGTGACAGGCAAATCCGAAACCGGATGCCGCCAATCAAACCACGTAACTGTGTAGCTTGTGATTGTAACGACCGCTGTGTTGTTGACTGCTTGACATCGTCTGCAAGACCTAACCACACACCACGTGATCTAAGCCGACGACAAAATAGCATTTGACCTCTAACCAATGACCATGCTGGCGCATCAAAGCACATAACACCCATAAGCGATGGAGAATGCACTATATCTCACATCCACTCTGATATACCTACGTCGCATTAAGACGCACACAACACAACTAGAACGACCGGACAATGGACGTGAACGCTACCATTCACGTGCCCAGGGCTCGACGCGGCCATCGTCGCAACCTCCCCGTAATCGGAATTGGATTCACAGTTATCAAACAAGCGTTTAAGTCGTTCTTGTATATATCATTACCATCTGCATAATATTATCATTTATATTAAGGTCTAGCACTTTGATTTAGTAACAATTCTCGAGGCAAGCGGTACTAATACCTACCCTATTCTGCACATGGGTGAATTACCCACGTAGAAATCAGTGCTACTTGCGAACACATGGCAGCACATGCGGACACCGGGTATAAGTTTATGGGGCCGGGGCTCAAACGTGTTCTCCTACCCTTGTGCTTTGAACGGTTTGGCAGGGCGAATACAGGAAGCAGACTTAATGCCACGGTTCAAAACGTTGTTGGATTTAAACTTCTCCACTGCTGGATTTCGAGAACCATTACCACTGACAATGGCATCTCATATTTCTGAGTCTCAAATTACTGTGAGTTTTACGTTTTTTACGATAATACGTGGGAAATTGAAAATAAGATCAGTGTTGCCAGGTCACGAATAGTAGTCCATAGCTATTTCGTACATTTCTCGATAAAGTTAAACATATTTAAATTTTACTTGCACCCTGTTTATAGTATTCAATAACGGTTTGGATCAGAAGCCTGGCCGTTGCTCGCTGAGGAAATGAGCTAGTGGCAAGACCGAGTAATACAAAATCCGGTGAATGGATGTTTGGCATCACACTCGCTGATCCCACAAAGCAGTGTCTGTAGAACCGGAAACGGAATGGCGGGCTTTGTTATGAGCTCCGCGTCTCTACAAGTCGGACATCAGGTTGTGCGCTGTTTACTAGCATTGAGCCTAATAAAGTGGTGGATCCTCGAGCACCAAAGAGCTGATCCCGGTTAGTCCACCTTGTCGATTACCTCGGGAGGTGGTTGAAGTCCTTATAGGACGTGGCACGGTCGGTGGCGCTTTAGCATTCGTCCCTTTTAGCGCTTAACTATCCCACCTTACGACCATACTTCCTGACCATTGTTACTTTGGCGACGCGTGTCGGGATGACTGGATCCACTGGAATTTGGTTAGCGGAGAACAGTCGAAAAAGTAAGAGGCTCAGCGAACATCAGTATAAAGCGCCGAGATCCAATCACTGCGATAGAGGAAGCAATTTGTGATATCAAGATCAACCCAGTGACAAAACTGGGTGGCTCCTTTCAATGGTAAAACAGTAAGATCAATGCAAATGCCGTAAGGCCTTAATCGACTTCGTGCAGTACGAATGTGCTGGGACTAGACAGTCAGGAAAACGCCGGAGACACACAAGTATGAAATGCAGGGGAGTGATTACATGGTGCACATTAGAGCGATAACATGCATAAGGTGACAGAAGAAGTTACAAAAATACACCGCATTCAGCACATCTAGGACTAACAGAGCATCACTAACATCGCTTTCAACCTCACACATAGGTAAAGGGCGACATGTATTCAAAAATGGTTGCTAAAAGCACATAGACTTGACACAACAGATGGAGTGCTTAAAATTCAGAAAGCACTATAAAGGAGGACAGCATTCCGGACAGCATGACTAAGGTTCAATTAAAGAACTACTCTATTTACAAAGAGTAAAATGAAGTCGCTCAAACTAGGTTACCGACTTAGCCCATTTTCACTGGTGGGGATATAGTATATGTACTCGAAAACTGGCTAAGCAGATACCTACGTTAGGCAAACAATGTGAGAAGTAATAAACAACAAAAAGGAAACGGAACATTCTCGAACAAAACCACTTGTTGCTAGAGAGGCGTCCTGCAACGCAGAAAGTGGACAGTGAAGTGACATGATGTGTTCGAGTAGAGTATAGAACATGTGAAACTCTTACACAGTACAGAGGCGGTTAACGGGGCAACTATTTCGAGCAGAACAAAGCGATGGTAGAAAACGATTGTAAGTGACGGGTATGGAGTGCCCACCACCGTGTGTTGTGGATTGCGATACGCAATCTCAATTGTAACCACTGTTGACTTTAAAGTTAGCCTGTGCCTTTCCGATCACTAGGACCGTATCTGAAGTGGAGCGTTTCGGTGTTGTTATTCTCTACCAGTGCAATACATGACCGATGATTTCGTCCTTGTTTGGACTCATCAAGTAAATATAGCCTAAGTTGGGAGTTGAGTGCAGTGAGGGGAAAGAGCAACACCGAAACCATTCACCACTTCGGTCGGATACGGTCCCATTAATCGGGAATGACAGAGGTTGACTTTAACCGAGGCCACAATTGAGATTACGTATCGTAAGCAATACTCCGCAAGCAGCGGTGGTCAAACACGGCCAAGCGTTCGTGATGTCTTCGACACCAACTGGTAATGTCTCCGATTCATAGATTAAGACCGACCTTACCGCAACGTTATATATCCTACAGTTCAGTGACAGGCTAATATCCCGCTGTCACTATAGATGGTTAAGCCATTGGAAACTCACACGGGCATTGCTGATACGGGATGTAACTTCCTCAGTGATGTGATCACCATGGGTAACACAGCTACCAAGTGAACCGATCCAACAGTCGCAGTGGCTATTCGGTGGTAGCCAGAACCGGAGGTGTATCGGTCCAGTCCTACAGCAGTATTTTGCACTTTAAAGGTGCAAAACACATGACTGAACAATAAACAATGATTTATCACGGGTAAAAAAGCATGTGCTTGACAAGTCCCGTAGGATGGTTGGAGTAAAAATTAAAATTTGAAGGATCATCGGATAAGTAAATCGTTATTTCAAGCGTCCATCGAGGTAAATGCACTACTGCATAACGATAGCTTTAAGTGGGAATGGAATGTGTACACGCAAAATAATATAGAGAGCTGTTATAGTTCAGTAAGTGTGTGAGAAATAAAAAACGAAACGACAACGCTCACTCGTTTGTTTCTTCATTTGACAGATGTGATAGGTTAATCCAACATGCCGAAGCACGCAGCGTTATGCGACACACTGTGCAGTAGTGTTTGTAAAGCCACTGTATCTGCATACTCAAAGCCTCAAAATGGAGGTTAGCTAGACGAAGAACTAAGTAGTTTATTGTGACGATGACTCGCATCCGACGAGAGACCAGGGTGTACAGTGCCAGTCTCTTACACTACTATCGTCCACTGAACGAGCTTCTTCGACACAGAAGAAGCAAAGACACTGTAGTGTTGGCTAGCGATCTGAATGCTCACATTGGGAAATTGTCCAATGATGAGCTACATCTGGGTGGCTAACACGTGTAGGCGTCCGTGATGATAACAGTAGGCGCTTGCTGCATCTGTGTGACGATGCTGGTCTATTTGTTGCGAGCACTAATTGCAGACACAGTACTCGTCGGAGGGCGACATGGCGCCCACCAGCCTTGAATGCAAATCGATCACACTGTGATCGGTTACCGATGGAGCGACTGTGTCCAAAACTGCCGCTCGGCTTGGAGCACATGTATGGACACTGACCCTGCATCTTCATGCTTTGATACGGTTGGCACCATCCGGTTCCGGATTCGCCTGTCACTACGGCCTCCATAGGGAGTGTCACAGCACGTCTGCGCCTAGAGAGACTTAATGAAAATGAGGGACTACTCACGGCCCCATCCACACACACCTCATATCCAGTGTAAACTCGAAGAAATAGGACCGAGAGGCATGTGGATGGGAGCCACGGTTCATCAACGGAGCCGGCTCAGAATCCTTAAGCATGCAAAGCAGCAGCTTTATTGTCTACCTATGTGGGGAATCATGCGTACTAGATGTGCACAAGGCGGTGGCCGTGCTGTAGTCCGTTCCACACTGGATGAAACCACTCATTGAGCCTAGCACAGAGACGAGGACTGTGCACCCTGTCCCCCAGTAAAGATTCAGTTTTCTGGAGCAGAGGGAACTGCGACGAACTACGTCTAAAAGTACACAAAAATACTCACTACTCTTCATCAATCAAGGATCCGTTTGTATAGGTTCTAATTGCTGTGTCGTACACAGTCGCTATACAGAACGTCGTACCTCGGGGGCCAACCCCTGTCACCGTACAGTTCGTAACTGGTGGAGGATGAGCCGCGATATATTGTAGTCAACTGTCAGTCATGCAAGTCCGCCCTCGTCACCCATGGCTTAGTGGCACAATCTGCTGGCATCCGGAAGTCATGGGGTCAGAACCCGGTAGGGGACCGAGGAACGCGCATCACTGACGAGACCCAGAATGTCGAAACAGCTGTCTAGCGCTCTTCCAGATGTGTGGGAATCTGTGTGACTGAGAGGGGACTGCGACGAACCACATCTAAAGTTATTTTATTTGTTGCACTAACGTTGTTGGAATGTGACGGGGAAAATACGATGGGCCAGGATACCGCGTGAAACGAGCAAGCCGATGGTACCCGAAATGAGACGTAGATAGAACATGTTGTACCTTTGAATAACAATAACATTGGCCATGGGACGTACCGCGGTAAGTAATTCTTGATATTCGATCTGGGATAGACGCATGCGGTTCACAAGTTGATGAATCAGTGGAAGACTTGTCTCCAATTCTGCCCACGATAATTTCGTTGCTTGAAACGACTGGAAGCGACAGTCTGAACTGGTAGAGTGCTTCTCAGGAAGCATGAAGTGGTGGTGTTTGAAGGAATCAGGTCCGCTACGGATCAAATGGGACGAATCACAGTTTGGTATGGGTAGAGCATTAAACGAAGAATTAGTAGTCGCAAGGCCGTTTGGGTACCAACTGAGTAGGACACAGTTTGAGGAAGAATTGAGGGGAGAAGCCGCCGAGTTAGGGATGGAATCAGACTGGCTGGTGCTTCCAAGCAGAAATGCCAAGAGATCTGCGCGGCAGAGTAGAAGGGGGGATAACAAATTTACATTAATGGATGTATTGCGTAGGGAATGGGTAAATATAATCCACGCTTGTTGGAGGACGACGGAAGGGGGGACTTCGCGCAAGAACTGTTTGAGTTGCATAAGCACTTGTGAGCAATCGGCGATTTCGTTGTTATCTGAGGTTTAAAATGTTGGTCAGATAATAGCGATGGCTTGTTCTCTAAGTTGTGTTTCGCCTATAACCAAATCGTCACCAGACTAGATAACATGGATAGTGGAGCTCGGAGGACAACCACCAATACTATCCACAACACGCACCAAAAATGGTCTCTAACGTTGCCAGGCAAAACATTGATAGAAGCGTAGCAAATCAGATAGCACCAGAGAGTTGGCCAATGGTGTTGGATTGTGGACGCGAGCAAGAATCATCAAAGTGGAATCATGTCCGAATTGCAACGAAGCGTGATTGGTCCTCAAGAAAAAAAGGACCGAACAATGTAGGACAAATGAAATTCACTGTGTGAAATAGTGCAGAATGATACGAAACACTATCGACAAACTGAAGCAATGAGGAAACATCATGCCATGATGAGGAAGAAGTACAAAATAACCGGCCGATTAGTTTCGTGCTAGTGTAGATTCAGCAAGTAGATAGCGTGAAATGAGTAGGGAACTCGACACACAGTAGTTGATGGCCAACAGGAAGATTAACAGGTTATGAAACTTCGTGAGCAGCGTCTAACACAAAACCCAACAATCATTATTATAATTATTGATTGTGATCGAATATATGCCAAAGCGGACTGCTGCGATAACGCCCGACAAGTAATGAATCATGAGACGAAGAACGAAACGATCGGCCACATCGGCCATGATCAACAGTGATATTGTTTTTTGATTCTACCGTAGAGGAAGTTCCGGCAGGTGACCGACTGACAAACCTGATGCGGACGGCATACCTCTCTTTGGCTCCGATGCAGCGACTATGAAAACACAGACTTGTGAGTAGCGCTGCACGCGTCATCATATGCTTTGCACCTTTAAATCGCAAAGTACAGCTGCAGGATGGACCGAACCACCTCTGGTTCTGGCTACCACCGAAGAACAACTGCAACCGTTGCATCGGTTCGATTACTGCTCTCTATCAGCCCGAAACTCTGGATACGATACCTGGACGACACATTTGTCATCGCAAAACGGAATAGAGTACAGGCCACGCACGAGTTGCTCAACAGCACATTCGAGGATATCAAATTTACGATTGAATAAGAGGAGGATAACACGGCTATCATTTTTGGATGTACTGGTCACTATACGTATCGACGGATCTCTGCAAACGTGCGTATATCGGAAGAAAAATCATACGGATTAGATACTAAAATACCACGGCAACCACACGATGAATCACGAGAAGAGCTGCATTCAAACCCTAAGAGCGGAAACGATCTGCAGTACAGCAGAATCACGGAAACAGGAAGAAAAGCGCCTATATCAAGTGTTTAGAAACAATGGTTATCCGAGAAATTTCATCAGAAGAGGCCTAAAGAAACGAACGTCACAGCCACAGCAGTCATCTGCGCAAACAAACAAACGAATAGTGCTCCCCTATAACGTCTCCGAACTAACAGGAAGATTGCTGCAGTCACATGGGATCTCTGTGGCTCACAAACCAAGTGGAACCCTAAGGAAATTGATCCTAAGACCCAAACAAAAAGTCAATCAAGCCGACCAAAGCAATGTCATCTATTAGCTCAAATGCAGTGATTGCGATAAAAGCTACGTCGGACAAACTGGAAGAAAGCATTGTACACGAATCACCGAACACAAGGCGGCCGTCAGAAGACATGATCCGCACTCATTGGTTTCTGCGCATGAAGATCAAGAAGGCCACCATTTCGATCTGAAAGATGTAAAGATCCTAGCACATGTAAGTACAAAACACGTCAGGGAGTTTTTGGAAGCCAAGTACTCTACAAAGAACTCAATCAATCGACACATCGAACTGGATGTAGTATACGCAACATTACTGGCGAACGACCGCCAACTAAATTGATTGAATCCTATGGAACGTGTGACTAGCCAACCAGAACTGACGACAGACTCGCTCACAATCGCAAGGAGACAAAAACCACGCAACACAAGGAGTCAAGGTCAAAGGTCATCTGCCTATCAACCAGGCTGAAGGCGGATCGAAATCCCAACCAATAGGATTGCTCGCCTCCACTTTACTTTCAAAGTAAAACACGACAGCCATTGAAAGCAGTCTGTCTATGCAACGGTTCCAAAACAGGACCGCATAACAAACGATCCATTGAGGGACTTCAAAGCCCACCCAACGTAATGCTGTGAAAGACCACCGGTCTCGTTGTGCCACCTTCAGGTGACCGAAAGTGGCGATCGAGTGCATATGCAACCACGTGTGACAGGAAGTTACAAATAGTTAGCCGTTTCACACGCTGCTGAAACTCACGCGCACAACATCGCTATCGGGACAGAAGTCCATTTTGGTCTATTCGATAATCCCTTAGTCCATCTAATCGGTAAGTGTATGATGCAGATACCAGAAAATCTGCTTTAATCCCCACGTCCACTCCGTATCTATTTAAAATCCGTTTGAGAGTGATCTATGATTCACTTGAAGCCCATCCACGCCATGACTTCACTGCGGATCGATCAGTGAAATGCGTGTACAACTGTGCTTCAACCTGTCTCTGGCAACGTGGTGGTGGTGTCTGGACGCGATACAAACGCTTACGACTAGTGACGGATATACAGAAACGGTAAGCCCTATTCGCATACGCTCCAAATTCCCTTGCTTACACAAAGGGTTTCTGTTTCAGTTCAGTGTCTGCATGTACAGCGGTATAACTCCATCTTTACTTCCGGAATAAGACAATTTCAAAGTTGAGCAGTTTACATCTCTAGAAGTCCCTTTCTTCCAGAAACTCCAACCGTTCTACTGCTGAAGTTACCAAACTGCTAGGATTCCGATAAGGTCCAACAGTACTCGACAGGGCTGTGTGTCATCTACCTTGCGAACCACACAAATAAAGTACGGAACACACAACGAAGTGCAACACAAAACATGTGGTGACCATGTATTCAAAAGTACTGGTATAATTACCCAGCTAAATGATAAAAGCAGCCCACCTGAACAGTAACTACACGACATGATTCAAATACTGGTTTGCACTGAACCCTTCGAGGACCAACTAGTTTTCATAGATTCCATTAGTAAGCAATCAGAGAAGCGCGATCCGAGAGGATAAATTTGTATTGCATTTGAACGGCCGCGCAAGCTACCAATCACTATGTATGTTAATAGTCCGGACAAAGTTAACTTTGGAAAAATAAAAACAACACTACTAAATGCTTTCAACATGTATGAGGTTGGGTACAATGGTTTGCAGCTTGGAAAGAAAACACCAAAGCAGAGTTGCATCAAAATTATAAAAGTTTATATTCAAGGATATGCGGATAGATAGAAGTAGTGTTAGGTTGCCATAGTCCAAAAACACTCAGTTTAAAGACGCGCTGTTTAAAGCTGATCTCACAACACTGCAAAGATATCTTCTTGAGTCTGCGCCAAGAACAGTAGAAGCAGAGATATCGAGCAATCCGAAAACTCATGTAGTGATAAGAGACATGAACCCTGAGAGCGCATATTTTCGAATGCATTAGTTCCAGATCCCATTACAACGCCCATATTAAGGTCAATGGATAAGACAGCGACCACTGACTCCAAGATCGGTGAAGTTATCGGACTGGACACCTTGTAATTGAGAGCGACTCTAGGACTCAGGCAAGGTGAATTGCCAATCGTCTAGGGCCCGATTACCAAACTGATGAGTAACCACGGTTGGCGGCATCCGGTTTCGGATGTGCCTGTCACTGCGGCTAGCCACAGGACGCCTGCGGCTACAGAGGGACCATGGGTGGCTTGCGCTGCACCACCCACAGTTTCAAATACACACCTCATATCCAGTGTAAACCCGAAGATCGGGAGGTATGTGGATGGGAGCCAGGTTTCATCAACAGAGCCGACCCACACCCCTTCACAGGCAAACACAAGCACGCTGTATTTGAGGAATCAACCGCACACAAGGCGGTGGTTGGACCGTAGTCCGCTCCACACTAAGTGCATGGAACCACTCTTCGAGCCTAGCATGACCACAAGGACCGTGCACCCCGTCCACTCCAGCAACGACCAACTGTCTCCTGGAGCCAGATGGACGAGGTAGTGGGTAATAGACAGGTAGGCAACTTGTCAACATGCACATCAAGCGCAGCCACACCTGGGATGTCAAACAACAGCCAATCACTCAAAATGCCGCTATCGAATAAAGTAAACGCATATGACGACATAAATACTCGCTAAATGAGCATATAGGAGAAATTGGTTATAGGTGAATCCGTGATAAGTATAAAATGTCCGAGTTATTAAAAAAATACCACTCGATGAAATTACGCAAGTTTACTACAATTTCCATGACCGACGTGTGCAGGTTGGGGGAAGATTATCAAATACGTGGAACAAACCAAATAAAATGTAATGAATATTATCCACGTTAAAAAGACCTAGTTTAAGTGTAAGTTGGTTTAGCCCAACTGCGGTGAAGAAGCATCATGAATGCAACATCAGTCTCAGCATGGGGCACGATGAGTGACCAAGCAAGTAAAGGTATTTAATCAGGTCGCCGATAACTTAAGAAATGTATTGATCGTGGCCAATGAAATATCTCCGGTTTTAGGATAATCAAACAGATCTAATGGCGGCCCATTCTCTAAAAGATCACAAGCCTGCCATTAAATCCGAGGGTGGGGTTCAAGCCTACATGGGTGACCGGGCGACTCTCGCAGTATCCGTAGCGCACGTGTGGCCGATGGGGGCTGCGCGGCAGCAAAGCGTCGGTACTGCGTGCCGACGTATTGCTGACATCTGATGCTGTAATCAAAAAACTGTAACCGTCGTAAAGCTAGTCACTTGTCCAAGCCAAATGAAACT